TGACGTATTATTATTATTTTCTTAAATCTGTTTTTTTTTTTAAAGATAAAAGTCAAAATGACATTATGTTGGCAAAACAATGTAAAATTGTCAATGCTTTCAAATTTTTTATGTGGAAAAGGCTTGTGTTGCCAACATAGTTACTAAATTTTTGACTTGGGGAATTATCTTAAAAAAAAAACAGACTTTAAAACAGCTTGTAAGAATTCACGTTTTGTAATCTTTAATTTGTTTGTATAGATACAAACGTTGGTAAACAGTTTGCGATTGTTCTGCTGAACACTACGTTGAATTTGTGTTAAAATCAAACATGTTTTGCAAACGGTCGCCATTTTTGCAAACATAATTTCAGAGTGTTTATAATTTTCAACACTGTGTTTTGTGTGGTGACCTGTTATTCAGAAGGTGACGTTCTATTATTGAAAAGTTGAATCGTTCAGCAGAACCAAGAGTTTACCCAACATATTCTGTTGGTATTAGTAAACTGTTTACAATCAGTTTTGGTTCTGGTGAACGTAGCCATAGCAGTAGCTGTTAGACAGGAAAATTTGTATAAAATGCAATTCAGAAGCCAAAGGAAAGTTGAAATTGAAAAGCCAGGGATATCACAATGTAATTTGGTGGAAAGTCTAACCGAATGGCACTGTAAATTGGCTCATATTAATTTTGAACAAGTGAAAAATGTTTTAAAACATAGCAGTATACATATAAAAATGAAATGAAGCCATTTTCTACACAATGCCTAACTGGAAAGCAACCCAAGCTTTCATTACCGATGAGTGAATCCAGACCAGAAAAATCAGGAAAGTTAATACATGCTGATTTGTGTGGACCATTTGAAGTAGCCTCTTTAGGAGGAGCAAAATATTTTCTTTTGCTTTGTTGCCAACAATCCTGAGAACAATAAGAGATTGAAATATCTTGATATAAAACTAAACTTTGTAAAAGAAAAGATAGATAGTGGAATGGTGGATATACAGTACATTAAAACAGAAGATCAACTAGCCGATAGGTATATTCATCAAGCCGTTGTCTAGAATCAAATTTGTGAAATTCAGGGAGGGTTTGGGTATTACCAAATCGCTGCTCTTCTGCTATAGATCTAAGAATAGATCTATGTAGGTTATGGTAAAATAGTTATATTAAAGGAGGTTGTTAAAAGAGATAGATAAATAACATATATGTATGTATCAAAAAAATCCGAAATAAAAAAAATTGCATATTTGTCGGTTTCAAGCTCATCACTAATAATTGAAGTTACTTATGAAATCCGGAATATTTACGCACGTTAGCCACACGTGCCACTTATTACTTTCGCCGGAATGTCAGAAAGGTGCACACAATTAGTAAAGAGACAAGTGGCCTCGAGTGGTTTTCGGTGTTGATTAGCGTTTTCTCTAAAAGGGAGGAAATGAGAAATAATGATGTGTGCGAAGCTACAAAAAACGTCAATTCTAAAATTAGCCAAATTAAAAGGGGTCTCTGCCTGATGCCACTCTGTTTCTTTTGTAGGACTTTACTAATTAGGTTTTGCATGAACAATATGTCATATTAATAAACTATTTCAAAGAGGGTATTTTTCGTGAGTGTACGACATAAATATAAATTCTTTTGCCCGGCAATCTTATCTGGGCGGTAACTATTAATTGAAAATCTTGGGTTTTAACCTCATAGTAAATCGACCAAGGATTGTAGGGCACCTCTCTAAATGGCTGGTGTCTAGAATTCCTTGCGGTTGCGTTTCGGTATATGTAGAAACAGCCAAACGCAGTCTAAATACTAGGATTAGGGAGCATAAAAAAAGTTTCCAGCAGGGATTCAGCAATCGCCGACTCTGGATAACACCAATCATTTTCACTTCACACGTCAACGACTTCAACGTGAGAAGAATCTCAAGAAAACCTGGTTACCAGTTCTCCGAAAAACGACTCTCTCTTTTCAAAAACAAGAACAAAGAAAAGGTCCAATACGTCCACGTCACGTATTTTGCTAGAGTACCAAATTCCAGAGAGCCCCCAATTTCTGCCATTGGTCCTCCGTCCACAGTCATGGACGCTGAACATGCCTTCTCGAGTACATGTCCGAGAAAAAAGAATTCATTAGCGATAGTGAGAGTGTCGATCACGCAACTCAGCAATTCATCCATCAAGGGTAAGTCGGGACTTTCACCAAAATTGCAAAGAATCAGTCAGCATGATAATCAAAAATGTCCACAAAACCATGTTCCCATTCGGAGGTATTCCCTACAATATGAACTTTTCGTACCCAGCAACACCCTAAATCATTCAATTCCAACAATAAAGAGATGATGGCGATTATTCAAAACTTTTCTCTCTCCAGTATCTCCAATATAAACTCCTAGAATTCGAAGCCTGAATGGATTTTATTATGTCCCAGGTCCAATATTATAAAAAGACTAATAATTTCATGGAAGTGGTTTACTTCCAAAACTCTCAAAATCCCTAGGGAAAATTTCCAAAATTTGCGAGGCACCACACTCAAACCCGCAAAGTGCAATTCAAAATTCCAGAGAAAACTCTATTTCTCAGAACTCCACAAAACTCTAACCGTCAGCAGCTGTACCTATCTTTCGGAGAAACGACCACTGAACTTTTATTTGCGACAATGAGGGTCCTAAAATCAAGAAAAATCTCTTGGGCATTTTCGCTACCCCTAACTCCAACGTCATCGCTGGTACTTTGGCGGGGTTGGAGGCTTGAGAGTTGATCTACACAGGCCTTATGAGGATAGGCTATCCTGTGCAGTGTGTAATATATTTGCGGTCTTACCACCTAGAATATATGGGCTGCCGAAAATTCATAAAATACGCAATCCACGACCTATTGCAAGTACAATAGTTTCTCCGGCGTACAACAAAACCACACTCCTTCACACACTACCCAATTCATTTAAAAGATCAATAATATCCCTCTCTGGTACACATAAATGAGCCAACGCCCAACTTTGAATGAAATTTTCGTAGGAAAAATTCGATCTGGATGAGCACTGAAAAACGTTGTGTCACTTAAGGATGCTAGAATCTAACTAACTTAACTTTAATTTTGAATGAATGAATAATAACAATAATTATTATTGCCAGGAAATGCGGTTTTTGTTAATGAGATAACGGGATTTCGAATAAATTAAGCAAGTTCGCAAAACTTGTTATCAGCGGCAGAAATTATAATTATTTAAAAATAATATTTGGGGCTTGCGAAAAATGGGGCCCAAATTCGGGCCCCGCATTCCTATGGTTTGGATCTCGGCGGCGGTGGTGGTGTGAAACCAAATTTTCGAATGATGATGTCGCATTGGAATAATTGGTAGGTAACGAGACATAAATTATTGGCTCATCGTGGTCAGATTTTAGTTTAGAAAAATGGGGGCTCCCGAAAATTGGGGGCCCAGTACGATGTATCTTGTTATAAGTTTCCAACCAAATTTCAGGTTTCGAGTTTTAGGTACGTGGTACAAATTTCAGGTTACCAGCATGAGATACGGGGTATCAAATTTCCGGCTATGAGTTCTAGGTTATATTGGTATTATATACGGATAATGGAGCCGCAGGTCTAGCAGCGGAGACAAGGGGCCCCTTCCCGTCGCACATTATTAGTTTCGGCAACGTCGCACGTACCCGTCATCTCGTATGGGTTATGAGTTCATGTAAATGGGGCTCCCGAAAAATGGGGCCACGGGTCTAGCAGCGAAGACACGTGTGTGGCCCATTTTTGACGTCACTTGGGTTAGGCCTTTTCAAATAGGGGCTTGCTACTTGGGTTAGGCCTCTTCAAATTGGGGCTTGCCAAAAAATGGGGCCTACGAAAAAAATATGGTCCCCGGAATGGGACACAGGCCCACCTGAGTTAGGCCCCTTCAATTTGGGGCTTCTCTGATGACGGGCGCAGGGCCCCAGAACGAGTGTGACGTCACTTCCGTTGTAGAACCCCCCTTGTATATCTACTTCAGGGTATTCGGAAATATTTTTCCACAGGAAATCAACATCCTCTTTTATCACTTCCAGACTACTACCTATTTCCAATGGCAAAATGATTTGTTCGAATACGCAAATGGAGTTGCAATGGGGTTCGGCAATCGCTAACATAGACCACTCCGGTAAAATAGAACTGGAATAATTCCTAGGTCATCAACTCTATCGACCCCAATATACAGTTTACGATAGAAGTTTGATTGGCATTCCTCGAAACCTTGTAGAAAGATTGTCCTCGAGTGAACTGGGACACAGAGTATCTCATACGGAGAGATACTAGTTACCAAAATTATTTCTTATTATTTAACAAAAATATATTTCAACTAACATCGTGAAATATTGCCAACCCTGTTAGATCACTCGACACTTTATTGTTGCTGCCAAACTTTTATTAGGTACTTCTTTCTTCTGTTGTCATTTAGAGAAATATCCTGAATGAACCATAACCTAATCTCATGTATTTTGAATTATTATTTCAAAATGTATTTATGAGACCTATTAGCGACTAAAAACAGTATGTTCGAACAAAACTCCTATAGGTGGGTCATAAGCCCACAACACAATATCGCCACACTAATTTTCACAGCTCAATTTACTGTTGCTTCGTTTAATTTCTCATAAATCTTCCGACCCATAAATTACCAGCGTCGATAGAGAAGCTTTCAAGAAAGTCCATTTAAAAGATAAAACATAAACAAACCATTATTTGTAGAGCAAGAGCGAACAAGACAAGATCTAGTCACGAAACCGTCGGTGTTGATTTTACTTTCAATAGCGTCGTGTTGTTTTAACGCCGGAGCGTGTACCACAAGAATTATAGTTTTTTTTCCCTCTGTGTGAGCCGGCTTTCCAACAAAAATATCTGTTCTCGGGCGTATTTGCTATAGGGTTCAGCCCAAAAGAAAATATTTTGATCCGAGTTCTGGTTTAAGAAGAATGTTAAGCTGATTATAAGGATTTTGAAAGACAACATTGCTTGATCAATGATATCAAGAATAGAAAATGAACTTACCATAAACAATAATCTGCGATGCAGGCGCCATTCTTTTTCCAACAATGTTCTCAGCTACGCACGTATAATTGCCAGTGTCCTGAGTACGTGCCTCGCCGATCAACAAGTGACCCTCCGTGGTTACCAAAACCGAGCTGTCCGACTGTAACATTTGCCCCCCTCGGAGCCAGTACACCCTGGGAGGTGGCATCCCCTGAGGGGCAATGCATTTTAGTTCGGTGTGATGACCCAATTCGACGCGCACCACTGGCTCGGGATTGACGTCAAACTGCTTTTTTAAATCTGAAAAAAAATAAATTAAGTTTATTTATTTTGCAGAATCATCGGACATTGGTTATTTGGCAAAATTTTATCTGATAAATGAATAAAAAAGATGATACGCTTAATTTTTTCATTATGCAGCCATTACTTCCTTTATTATTTGTTCTCTACGTCGGTATTTCCACTTCTAATTCTATTTGTTATTTCCTTTTCCGGTCTTTCTTTTATATACGTTTTCCTGACCTAAAAACGTCGATTAGGCCCTAAACATAATTAAATAATCAGAGCTGCTCTCAAGAGTAAACCGACGACTCCAATTTCGTGCCACCCACTTGTTGCTCGCTGATTAGGTTTGCTTTCGGATAAATTAGTTTAATTAATTTTGTTAATGAATTTAAAAAAGCAGATAATTAGTGAACGAAGACGGATCTGCTTGCCTTTCAACATTTGTTGCTGGTTAATTAGGTAAGCTCAGTATTGAAGATGAGAAACGGAAGGTCTAGAAAGTAAACAAACAAAAAAACAGAATTTGTGCATAGTACCTATAACATAAATACGGACATTTATAACACACTTGAGCCTAGTCCAGACCTACATACTGAGGAAAACCACCTATTTGAAATATTATTTCTTCAAATCTTAACTTGAAAAAAAAAAAAAAACGTTTACTAAAAAAAAAGCAAATGATAAATGTTGCAACCTTGTATGCGCCGTAAAGTTTTTTGGAACGAAAATACCGAAGCGAAGGGGAGATAGAAAATGATGGACTAGACCAGAAAGAAGAAGCTTGTCTGCCATTGTTCATTATTCAATTTTTATTTTGTATTAAAATGATTGTTCAATCCAATTTGTGATTAGTTTGTGTGTCATAAGGAGCATTCACAGGTCAGTTGAATAAATGTTATTTTGTGAGTTCAATTTATAAAAGTATTATTTTTTCATTTTTATGTATTTTTTTTTGTTTGTTTATAACATTTTATATAACATGTGCATTGTTCATGTATTTAACAAAAATCGTTACATACTGTAAACAATGCAGATAAAAAAAAGCAAATCAAATCCAAAAAAATTATGTGCTGTCTTTTGTGCTGGGATTTTAATATTTGGTATTCAGAGCGTACATTAGGGCCTTGTTGAATCTACTAACATTTTCCTACCCTGACGAGCGAATATCCTAGCAAACAAATTGAAAAATCAATCTAGAGATATTGGCTCAAAATAACAACTATAGCTGAGTAGCATCCCGTACGGGACCTCAGTACCTGCTGGTGAAACTTGCTAACTAACCAAAAACTCTTCAGTATTGAATATAGGTAGTGTTGATTGAATGTAGTGTGTGGAATTGAAATTTTAGCACAAGGACAGAGACGGTAATTAATTTTAACTTTTATTGATTATTGACTCACAATTAATTATTAAAATGACACAGTATGTTTTGATTTTTGAGGAATGTTAGATCGAGGGTTTCTCTGCCATGCTGTTTCCCCTAATTAGTTCCAGGTCGAGAACGGTACGATTTACTTTAATAATAAAGTAGAGGTTTCACAATTTTTTTTTTTTTTTACATATCATCATGTCCAGTAAATAAATTGAGTAAGTATCCACAACGTAGGTCCTATTTGTTTTTCATTTCGTTTTTTCAGAAGATTTGTTTAAAAACGATATAATTAAAATTCTAATCTTACAATCTTGCTGAACGAACGCACCACCACTGATACGATTGCTTAAAACAATGAACATTAGCTTCAAAAACGAGTATAAAAGCAAAGTTTCCCATCCTGACAGGCAACAAAAAAACTTCAAACATTTGTTTAAATGTTCTCAAACATCTTAAACAGCTTTTATATAGTTATTGAACAGTTTTTTACTCAACTACATCTTTATATAATCATCTATAGACAGGCGAAACATCATCTTATTCAATAGAGGCTTTTTTTCTACACCAGTAAAACTAATATCAAATGCACAGAGGCGGATTTCTAGAATTGAGCTATTAGTTTTTCATGTTCCCAGCTCCTACGTTCTTGAACCTACGATAAATCATACGGTGTTTACTTATTCAGATTCATATACGGAAGAGCGAGCGCTTTGAATGCCCTGGATGAAAATCCAGTGAAAACATTTCAAGTATGAGAAAATGGTGTGCTATTTTCAAGAATGGACGTTTTTATTAAAACTCTTGCCTAATAGTTTGTATAGTTGCAGTGACAGACTTAGTAATATTAGTTTTAAAACAGTTCGTATTTTATTAATTGAAGCAATAATCCACATCGATGACTGATCGAAGATTGAAAACTTATCATACATAATCTTCTTAACATAAATAATCATTTCAGTATCCTCTTAAGTGTAGACATAAGAAGCGACAGAATTTTATTTTTAACACTTATCGGACTTATCTTTTAACGTATCTACTATTGAAAGTGTTGAGTGAGTTTACTTGCAAATACGATTTAAAATTCCACATACTATATTGCTAATTACATCAAAAGTGAATTAAGAGTTTTTTTTTTTTTGTATAAAAAGTAGGTAAATCTTTTTCTCCTTGAGTTTTACTTAACTGATTCTGTCTCACTAAGAAACGACTGTCATTTCGTAACCATTCTTATTTTTGAAATCGGCGAAACAGAAGCAAGAAAGGGGCACAGAGTGACAAGTGACAAGACTCGTCGCACAATTCCCAGTCAGAACCGTTTGTTCACGCTTCTCTCCTGCAAATCCGTTTGATATGTGTATTTTTAGCTAGGGAAAAAAAAACCTGCTACAAATAAGTTGTCAGGAGGAATTGTCGCTCCAGGCCTTGCTAAAAATGATAAATGTATATGAAAAGGCTTCGGATGGCGGAGGCGACAAACGAGAAGCCCATGACAATGGTGTACGCGCTCGCTCGTTTTTGATCATCAGTGTATTTTTCCATCAAGTTTTTTTCGTTGCGAAAAAAGACAGGTTTATTGAATAGGGAAAAAAATTATATATTTCTCATAAAAAAAGATTTTTTTGAAAGAAAAAAATAACATAAAATTTGCTTTGAATATTCAGATGCGAATAGTTGCGAAGAAGACCAAATATCAGTGCGAAACTAGTGAGTCTGAAAACGAATCCTAATCTGGAAATAAAGACACTTTCTCTGACTGAGCAGTTGCAGACGTTCATGGTTAGCTTCAAACAATCTCTTCCTATGAAATCTGTATTCACTGTGTCCACACTACTGTCTGCGCACTAATCGGCAATCGGATTTCACTTTGCAGCACTTCTGACACCAATGTTACGGCTCTGGGATACGTGAGTAATCCTAGTGAATAAAACGACCTCATCAATATATTTTGTGCCTTGAATTTTAGATAGAATATTTAGTTCTTAACGGAAAGAATCAAAAATGTCAATAAAAGGATTTCAATTATTAATTCTGATAGATTCACGCTGACACGCTTGGCTTCCCGATGGATCGTCCTCGATCATCGCCTGCAAAATTTCTTTTCCCTCGCTTCTATCTCCGAAATCTACTTTATTATTTCATTAACCGAGTTCTTTGCCAACTTTTAGCGCTTAATTCCTCGATGAATTATGCATAGGGTGCTGTAGTAAAATCGTGCATTTTTTGCCATTTACAGAGACAATTTAATGAGGAAGTCCTCAACTTCGAAATTAATACTGAAATTTTCAAACATAAAACTTTCAAGCGATCATAGTTAAAATTCTTAGCGCAGCAACTCGATTCGTTTGCAAGTAATTAATTTGACTCTTCAGTCTAACAATTAAAGTTTTTATTATAGGTTTTAAGGATATGCAATGCTTAAGTTTTTGATTAGGTTAGATTATCTTGTTTTTTGTCAACTTTTTTTCCTCCTGCTTATTAAATAATTTCTGTTCCATATCAAACAAACGCAATTACCTATGTTATGAAACACACATATATCGAAAAAGATATCATTTTCTCATTGGTTTTAATAAGTGATTCCTATATGACATTAAATTATTATGTTGGTATATTTTAAAATTGTAACGGATTTGATTTGGTAGTTATATAATATAATCAATACTGATGTGTGCAATGAAATTCGTACGCCTCAGCTGGAGCCTCTTAAACCGATTTCCATAAATCTCGAATCCGCAAGGAAAATTGCAGCTCGGCACTGGAGAATCTGCGTGTTCGCATCCTCAGCTTTCACTTTCCTTAATTTATAGGTTATCCGAAGGAAATTGTAGATCCCTCCGGCTTCATCAGACCGCCGAAGTTTTATAATGGTTGCTTCAATGATGCATGAGACTAGGGATCGGCGCTATTTTCGGCATTATTAAAATTTTAACGGGCTGTATTAAATTAAATTAATGCGTTTGCGGGGGTATTTTAATGATTTCATTGCGTTTTTGGCCAAAGTATGATGGCCATAAAGGATATGAGGTATGCCTTTTAACGAACTTGTCGTTCTTTGTAGTGAATATGTACGTGAGAATATTGACAATTATTCACTATCAAACTTATTGACTTTTCAATAATTATTAACGTTGAAATAAATAAGTTATTGTTATATGCTTTTTAATATTGTAACGGCCGCCAGTGTGTCAAGAATCGTAGGCTGTCGAATACCTTAGAAATTAAAGATTCCTATAATCAAGTAAATTCTACTTAATCGGGAAAAGGAGAATTATCACGTGTATTCTAGATTGTACATGAATGGATTTACGGCTATACAGTGAGGGGCAGGCTACTAGGTATATAGGATATAACTTGACGAATTTGCAGGCGTCCGCATGTGGCAAAATGACAAATATATTTAGTGCTAAAGGGTCATTTACATCCACTTAACTTGACGTACGGAAAATTAATATTAAAAAAAACTTGAAGATCACATAGTTGTTACATCCACTTAAAAATTAAGAAAATTAACGTGACACACGGAAAAGTTGAACCAACTTAAGAAAATCCGTGCAATAAATAATAATTTCCATTTCTGTGCATATAATTTGACTGACAGTTCATCAGGTTATAAGTGCGCATACGTCATGTAAGATAATTTACT